AACATTACAGCACAGCCAAATTTTATCTAAAAAAATTATATTTTTAACTGTTTATCTTATAATGCAATAATATTTTTTTATATAAATATCTAGCAACTTTTGTCAGCTTTCAAAAAAGAGAGAGGGGAGTGCATGTAGACTTAGGGTCCGTTTGAGACAGTTTGTGCGTTTGAGCAGCTTTTCTTGAAGCTCGGCCCATGGGTAGACCGCGAAGTTCGACCCGCGGTCTGCGTTTAGTATAAAAATGGAACTGTATTTTTGAATAAGCGGGCAAAACACGCGAATGAAACGGTACCGTGACGTTTTCAAAAATGCTCCCGCACTTACAAACTGTCCCAAACGGGCCCATAATGAAATACAACCTTTAAGGTACTTGGCTGTGATAACGAGGACCCTTGAATCCTAGCCTTCTTCAAAGCTCCTCCATTTACTGTGCTGTTGCTCTTCAGAAACCAAATAATAATAATAATAATTCAGAATATAAATTATTAAACTAATAAAATAAAAAGTTTAAATTTTTTTTCTATTTAATTAATTTTTCTCTCACCTCGGATGGTGGATCTGAAAGTTGATGTTTTTTCTCTGCCTTCTTGCCAGTGAAATTCAACATATTGCTGCTGAAACTTGAAGTATCAGGAGAAACTGTTACAGTCTGACTCCATGAATTGGAGCTCAAGGCATAGCTAGAGTCTTCAGAGTTCTCTTGTTTCAGATCTTGAATTTGAGCTCCTTGTGATTGGTAAATCAGCTGCTGGTTCTCTAAATTCTCCATTCTTTTGGTTTGAAATGGAGCACTTAGGCTGTATCTTTCCTCTTGAGCAGCTATTCCTCCTCTGCAAGACAGTAATTATTAATTCTAATAAAAAGTATGAGTTTAATCCTTTTGTCAGAATAAATGCAGAAAAAAAAGTATAAATTTATGGTTTCTAATAATCAGCAGTTTTTGTATCTACGATAGTATCATTAATATTTATTTAATAATTTCAGTTCAAATATTTTCATAAACTTAATTGAAACTACAGATCACAAGCAAGGATGTAAATGCTTTGTTTCAATTAAGAAAACCGACATTATAATCCTATTTTTGAGAGGAGGAGCTGATTAATACGATTAACATGCACCAGCTCATGATCTATCAAGAGAACATAATTACATAGTATAATTTGTAGTATATATACAGAGAGAGAGAGAGAGAGAGATTACATGAGAAGTTGACTCCATGATTGTGGGACCTCATGATCTTCACACCAAGAGCTCATCATAGGAATAGAATTAGAGAGCTCATCTTCAGAAGTTCTTCTCAAATTGCTCATGCTCCAACAAGCAGGACTACACCCTCCCATCATCTGCTGCACCAAAGAACTCTCAAAAACACCTCTATTCATTACTGAAAACCCTAAATCTTCCCTTCTCTTTCTTTGTCTCTCTCTCTCTCTATTTCTATTTTCCTTTCATCCTTTCTACTATCTTTGAAGGCCGACTTGCTTTCTTTGCTTCTATGGTGAGAGAAGAGAAAGCTTTAGATGCAAAGCTGTTGTTTACAAGAGGAGTGAGAAGCCTTTACTTTTGTTTCCTTTCCATTCATCTCCTTCTTTAATATTTTTGCCCTTACTCTTTATATTTTTGTTTTTTGTTTTTTTTTTGTTGCCTTCCCTTTTGCTTTATAACAAAGCATGCCAAGAAAGGTGATGGCAGTGTTTTCAGACCAAAGGATCGTTTTCTGGTTGTACTAAGTTGTATTTGATTTGGTTAGAAGTTACTAGCAATGGCTTGCATAAGGGTTGATTCTAAGGAGGTATGGTTGATTAGGTTGGTGAATGGTGGTACTTATTGTTTTGGATGTTGAATAAATTATATATATATATATATATATATATACACACATGGTTACACTACATAACCGTGTATG